CGGCACTGATGGGCACTGATAGGCAGCACTAAAGGGCACTGATAAGCAGTACTAATGAGGTGGCACGGATAGGCGGCACTGATAGACAGCACTAATGAGGTGTCACGGATAGGCGGCACTAATATGCAGCACTGATAGGCGGCACTGATAGGTGACACTGATGATGGGTACTGATAGACGGCACTGACTGGCATCACTGCTGGGCACTGACTGGCGGCACTGACTGGCACAACCCCTGGGCACTGACTGGCAGCACTGCTGGGCTGCACTGGTGGGTGGTACTGGTGGGCAGCACTGGTGGGTGGGCACAGGTGAGTGGCACTGGTGGGCACAGGTGGGTGGGCACAGGTGGGTGGCACTTCTGGGCACAGGTAGGTGGCACTGCATAGTGGCACAGGTGGGTGCACTGCTGGGCACAGGTGGGTGCACTGATGGGCACAGGTGGGCGGAGCTAGTGGGCGCACTGCTGGGCACAGGTGGGCGGAACTTGCGGGTGGCACTGCTGGGCACCGATCATCAGGGCACTGATCATCAGTGCCCTGATGATCGGTGCCGATCCCCGCTCTGACAACTGCCGGTTCTCGGCAGTACTTTCCTCACGATCTGACAGCGTGAGGAAAGTGCAGCCGAGAACCGGCACTTGCATTTCCCTCTGATCAGCGTGTCATTGGACACCGCTGATCACGTGGTAAAAGGCCACTGTGATTGGCCTTTTACCACATCACGTGATCAGCTGTGTCCGTAGGACACAGCGATCACGGAAATCGCCGGGTGTGCGCCCCCTGGGGCGCGCAGGAGAGCGCGTTCTTGGAGGACGTCATATGACGTCCACTCAGAACTGGCCGGCCGCAGTGCAGCCGTCATTCGGCTATCTGCGGTCGGCAACTAGTTAAGCTTTGACAATAAAACCTGGAAGTTTATTGGTTTCTATGCACAACTGAGGCAGATTTTGCACGATTTTAGTAAATCCCACTTTGTGTTTTTTTTTCTTTTCAAACTATGCTGTAAACAAAAAGCAAACAACCAGTCAGATTAGACAATGACAAATTAAAGTTTTATGGCCACAGCAGGCTCCATGTTATTTTCTTCCTACCAGTTTTTCTGAAATCACAATGTTAGTATGTATCCCTCAGCGCCCCTTACGCCCTACATATCCATGTGGCTGCGTTTTGCTAGAATAGTTTTAATGTGCTGCTCCACCATCCCCAAGACAATTTGGAGTATGAAATAATTGCTGCTATAACAGACACGTTTCATTTTAACTGTTAATTTAAAGCTTAAACGTAAAGAGCCCTTTTTCTGGGAACAAATGACAGGAAACAGATCTTTAATAACATTGTTTTGGGTTGGCATCAGCAGAATTCCAGAGGCGTTTTGCAATATTTAGCAGTTCCATCACCTTCTTATACCCAGGTGGTGCTCTGTACTGCTGTAAAGCTGAATGATGTTTGTAAACTGCAGGTTATAGGTCTCGTAGTTCAGCTTCTCCAGGCTGACAAAATTGCAAATAAAACCGCTTTCTGAAACGAGCAGGTAAACTGAAGCTGGATAAATTTGTGTTGCTCATTATAGTGTTCCCGCTTGCCAGGACTAGAATACGCTGTACAAGACAGACATAGCAAAGCTTGAAGTGGTTCAGAGGCGGTATCACTACTGGCTAAAGGGTTGGAGTGTTCAGCCATACAAAAATACAAAACTGAGTATATCTACTCACAAGAGATGTCATTAAAGTAGAACTGAATGTAAACAGTGGAGATTTGCTATGTGTTAGGAAACACATTTTTAAATGCTAATTGTGCCTAAGCAGTACCCTTCATAATGTATCTTTCTGTCCGAAATTCCTCCTAAAAAATGCAGTGCACTTCCTGGTATGTGAGTGTGCCTAGGCACTCTTGTGCCTACAGCCATATAGCCATCTCTGCAGCGTGAGGTCAGCTAAGGCACTGCTTTCTCTGACTAGTTGGTGATGTCACTGCTGTGCTGCTCACTGTTCTAATTGCTGGAGGTTTTGACTCCAAGGCAGAGGTGTCAAGCGCTGTGGCCCTCCAGCTGTTGTGGAACTACAAATCCCATGAGGCATTGCAGGGCTGACAGTTGAAAGCATGACTCCCAAAAGCAGAGGCATAATGGGACTTGTAGTTTCTCAACAGCTGGAGGGTCGCAGTTTGACACCTGTGCTCTAAGGCAAGGTGACTAAAAGACAAAGTGCAAAATAAGGCATCATAAATCAGTAATGGGGAAAAATCTGCTGCAAGAAAACTACAGGCAATACCTGTGATAAGACCCAGAGCACCCTCCTTGATAGGCTGCTAGGATTGGGTTAGGAAAATTTAGTCCTGTGGCTCTCCTGTCAGTAGAGCTATTTGTGATTACTTTAGCCTGCTCCGGGCTCTGCAGGCTGCAGGTCTGACTGCTCCCCCTCCTCGAAATTCAAGAACAATGCTCCAACACAGTGTGGCTACTGTGTGTGCATAATCATTGTGTAGCACTACCACCTTAGGAGTCATTGAGTTTTGGGTTTCCCTAAGCTATGCACTGCCAGGCAACACCCATTTTCCACACTTTGTACACTGGAGTCAAACAACAATCCTTGAGCTTGGTTTTGTCATTTTAATAAGGGGTTTAGAACTTGGATAGGGTCTAGGGGTATAGATGCGGATAGCAACAGTCTTTTCTTAGAGAGAGCACTAAAGGCTCTTCGGTGTACCTCCTCAGACCCTGGATGATTCCTCTGCTTCACCCAGCTGCCTGAGGGTATCTCTGGGCAAGGGGGCCCAGAAGCTGAAAATCTAGAACAAGCAGTCCCGGATGAGAAGCTAGTTGGGTCTTTCACCCGGCTGCCCTCTGTCCTTATCCGGCCTAGGGGGGTGTAAGAGTACTCACACTATCCTTTCCTATCAGCTTAGTGGGTTGGTGGCTCCCTTCAGGCCTTTTGCTGGGCTGGCTCCTTCCCTGCTGCTCAGGATACTCCCCCCAGGAGACGGTGGTACAGTGAAGATTCTCTTTTCTTAAAATGGTGCCTGTAGGTAAGCCCTCTCCCGGGGGGTCCCCTCCCAGGCTCCACACTCCAGCCCTCCTCAAGCCATCCTCCATATGACACTGTCCTGTGCCACATTTGAGGGTTGCTCTGGTCACCATGCCCAGCCTCTTGTCAGGGTCCTCAAACATGCAGATCTGGGCCTCCACCCCTCCTCCAGAAAGCTCAGGTTTCTGGAGAGGTGACAGGACTCTGGAAGCCCCAACCTCCTAGCCTGTCCTGAGGTGAACTCCTGCCTCACTCACAGGCTGACTCATCCCAGGCTGCTATTCAGCCTCTGTCTAAAAAAGAAAAAACAAACAGCCTATCTAGCTAACCTGGATGGCATTACAATTGTAAAACGTGCCTCATCCTAAATAATTGCAATACTTTGAAATTCTTTGGGACATGGACTTTATAAACACTACAATTTTCATTAAAAAAGTACAAATTTATTTAAGGTTCACAAATAAGACATTAATTATAAACAGAGTTACAACATATTAAAAAAACTTTCCAGACCACCTAAATACTATCAAGGCCCCCGTGGTGTAAATAGGCCATGAATTGGGTAGGTGCTTGACAGGGCTTCTTGATATGTTTAGGTCAAGGCTCTACATGTTTTGTAATACATAGCGCTTCTTCAAGAGTTGTGCTGAAAATTTCTAAATGAACAAAAAATACAATAATTATACAAAAACATGCATATTGTCAGGAATGGACTGGCCAGCAATGGTGGGACTCACCTGCCTTTTGATCTGCAGTACCAGGGCTGGCCAGCGGGTGCTCCCAGCAATCAGAGACTCAACCTTTCAACCAGCTAACACCTGGAACTGATGATACTGGTGTATTTAAGGGATGGCCAGACTTGCAGACTCTGCCTTGGTGTTGTGTTTGTCCTGGGCCCTGTATCTGTCCTGCATCCTGCATCCTGTATCCTGTTCCTGCTCTCTGTTCCTGTCTGATTCTCTGCTGACCCTGTTCTGATCCCTGGCTTGTGACCCTGACCATCCCTCTGCCTGACCCTCTGTACCACGCTGCTTGCTACCTGTTCTGATCCCTGGCTTGTGACCCTGACCATCCCTCTGCCTGACCCTCTGTACTACGCTGCTTGCTACCTGCTGAACCTGGCCTGTGACCCCGACCATCTCCGCTTGCTCCCCCTGTACCTACCTGCCCTATTGATATTGACCCGGCCTGCCTGACGACGCTTGCTTGTTTGTACTGTTATCTGTGGTGGTTGGTTTGGTTTGTTTGCACTGTATTATGTTTTAGTATTGCACTGCGTTTATGGTTGTATTGTTAGTGTTAATAAATTATATTGTTTATCACATATCTGAAGTCTGCGTTTCCCTGCGTCAGTCACACATCTCTGGTCACACCTGGGAGCCCTGACATTACACCAAGGCCAATCCTGACCAGAAGTGGCTGCACAGGGAAGCCATCTTGGCTTGTTGATGGGAAGGATGGATCTGGATGAGGTTGAGTATTTATCTCTGCTAGTGCTTGATGACAGAGAGTATGCTTATCAGACTCTGAAGGAGTATCCCCGGATGAACTGCTAGAATGTATACGGCTCGCTCATGTTCTAGTAGATCAGGGCACAGATTTCTCTATGGTGCAGCCATTGATTCAGGTTTGTGTTGAGTTGGTTTCATCTGGTTCCCCCGAATGCAGGGATGAATTTTTGCCACCATTTAGTGCAGACCAGGTAGAGTCCCTGGTGTGGTTATTAGAGGATGATGTGGGTTACTTTCTGGAGCGTTATTCCACATGTTCACCACAGACACTAAGAGATTGTATAAACGCAGTGCAGTCATTGACCAGACAGGCTTTGTGTAAGCTCAGCTTTGTTCAACCCATACTGCAGACATGGACAGACTTGTTGCACCCAGCCTCAGTCAGCTTACAAAGACCCAGTCCTGCTTCTAACTCTACTCCTGTATTCCCAACAGCTCCTCCAGTTACAGCCCAGTATACTTGGCTATCTACCGCATGTCAGTACCCTGTTCCCACTCGCTGCACCTATCCTGCCTTTAACCCTGTAAAAAAGCCCTCTGTAGCAACTGCTCCCTCTCCTGTTCCATCCTCCAGTTCTTCTCTGTCTCCAGCTGCTCCATTCGTTTGCAGACCTGCGTTTACTTGCAGTGCTCCAGTAGTTAAAACCAGAAAAAAACGAAAATTCTTTCCAACCAATACCATCCTGCCAGTACCCAAACCGGTGAACCTGCCTTCCGTGACTCGGCCTGAAGCCTCTACTTGGCCTGATGCCTCTACTCGGCCTGATGCCTCTACTCGGCCTGAAGCCTCTACTCAGCCGGACGCCGGCATTCAGCCTGATGCCTCTACCCAGCATGATGAACTGATCCAGCCTGACGATCCTATTAGGCCAGTTGACTCGATGCCCGCTGTTGATCCAGATGATCCGGTACCTGATCCGGTGCCCGCTGTCGTGCCAATTGACTCAGAGCCCGCTGTCGTACCTGGTGACTCGGTGCCCACTGCCTTGCCAGATGACGCGGTGCCCGCTGTCGAGCCAAATGACCTGATGCCTGGTGACCCGATGCCCGCTGTCCAGTCAGACAATCCAATGTCTGACCCAGTGCCCGCGGTCATACCAGTTGACTCGGAGCCCACTGCCTTGCCAGATGACGCGGTGCCCGCTGTCGAGCCAAATGACCTAATGCCTGGTGACCCAGTGCCCGCTGTCATAACTGGTGACCCGATGCCGCTGTCGAGCCAGACAATCCGGTACCTGATGACCCGGTGCCCACTGTCGTGCCTGTTGACTCGGAGCCCACTGCCTTGCCAGATGACGCGGTGCCCGCTGTCGAGCCAAATGACCTGATGCCTGGTGAACCGATGCCCGCTGTCCGGCCAGACGATCCAATGTCTGACCCAGTGCCCGCGGTCATACCAGTTGACTCGGAGCCCACTGCCTTGCCAGATGACGCGGTGCCCCGCGGTCGAGCCAAATGACCTGATGCCTGGTGACCCGATGCCCGCTGTCCAGCCAGACGATCCAATGTCTGACCCAGTGCCAGCGGTCATGCCAGTTGACTCGGAGCCCACTGTCGTGCCTGGTGACTCGGCGCCCGCCGCTCTGCCTGAGGGCCCGAGACCTGTCGCTCCACCTGGGGGTCCGGCGCCCGCCGCTCCGCCTGAGGGCCCGAGACCTGTCGCTCCATCTGGGGGTCCGGCGCCCGCCGCTCCCGCCTGGGGGCCCGAGACCTGTCGCTCCGCCTGAGGGCCCGAGACCTGTCGCTCCACCTGGGGGTCCGGCGCCCGCCACTCCGCCTGAGGGCCCGAACCTGTTGCTCCACCTGGGGGTCCGGCGCCCGCCGCTCCGCCTGGGGGCCCGAGACCTGTCGCTCCGCCTGAGGGCCCGAGACCTGTCGCTCCACCTGGGGGTCCGGCGCCCGCCGCTCCGCCTGAGGGCCCGAGACCTGTCGCTCCACCTGGGGGTCCGGCACCCGCCGCTCCGCCTGAGGGCCCGAGACCTGTCGCTTCACCTGGGGGTCCGGCGCCCGCCGCTCCGCCTGAGGGCCCGAGACCTGTCGCTCCACCTGGGGGTCCGGCGCCCGCCGCTCCGCCTGAGGGCCCGAGACCTGTCGCTCCGCCTGGGGGTCCGGCGCCCGCCGCCCGCCTGGGGGCCCGATGCCTGTCGCCCCGCCTGGGAGCCCGATGCCTGTCACCCCGCCTGGGAGCCCGATGCCTGTCGCCCCGCCTGGGAGCCCGATGCCGGTCGCCCCGCCTGGGGGCCCGATGCCTGTCGCCCCGCCTGGGGGCCCGATGCCTGTCGCCCCGCCTGGGGGCCCGATGCCGGTCACCCCGCCTGGGGGCCCGATGCCCGTCGCCCCGCCTGGGGGCCCGAGGCCCGTCGCCCCGCCTGGGGGCCCGGCGCCCCGCCGCCCCGCCGCCTGGGGGCCCGATGCCCGTCGCCCCGCCTGGGGGCCCGATGCCCGTCGCCCCGCCCGGGGGCCCGGCGCCCGCCGCTCCGCCCGGGGGCCCGGCGCCCGCCGCTCCGCCCGGGGGCCCGCCGCCCGCCGCTCCGCCCGGGGGCCCGATGCCTGTCGCCCCGCCCGGGGGCCCGATGCCTGTCGCCCCGCCCGGGGGCCCGATGCCTGTCGCCCCGCCCCGGGGGCCCGGTGCCTGCTGCTCCGCCTGGTGGCCCACTGCCTGCTGCTTCGCCTGGTAATCCGATGTGCCTCTGCCCGGAGTCCTGCCCGATGTGCCTCTGCCCGGAGTCCTGCCCGATGTGCCTCTGCCCGATGTGTGCCTCTGCCCGATGTGCCTCTGCCGGGTGTGCCTCTGCCCGGAGTCCTGCCCGATGTGCCTCTGCCCGGAGTCCTGCCCGATGTGCCTCTGCCCGGAGTGCCTCTGCCCGGTGTGCCTCTGCCCGGTGTGCCGCTGCCCCGAGTCCAGCCCGGTGTGCCGCTGCCCGGAGTCCTGCCCGGTGTGCCAGTGTTTGATATCCCGCCAGTTACCAGACCCGGGCGGTGGAACATTTTGCCCAGCTAGGACTGTTTGGAGCGTCCTGAGGCCGCTCCTTGAGGGGGGGTACTGTCAGGAATGGACTGGCCAGCAATGGTGGGACTCACCTGCCTTTTGATCTGCAGTACCAGGGCTGGCCAGCGGGTGCTCCCAGCAATCAGAGACTCAACCTTTCAGCCAGCTAACACCTGGAACTGATGATACTGGTGTATTTAAGGGATGGCCAGACTTGCAGACTCTGCCTTGGTGTTGTGTTTGTCCTGGGCCCTGTATCTGTCCTGCATCCTGTATCCTGTTCCTGCTCTCTGTTCCTGTCTGATTCTCTGCTGACCCTGTTCTGATCCCTGGCTTGTGACCCTGACCATCCCTCTGCCTGACCCTCTGTACCACGCTGCTTGCTACCTGTTCTGATCCCTGGCTTGTGACCCTGACCATCCCTGTGCCTGACCCTCTGTACTACGCTGCTTGCTACCTGCTGAACCTGGCCTGTGACCCCGACCATCTCCGCTTGCTCCCCCTGTACCTACCTGCCCTATTGATATTGACCCGGCCTGCCTGACGACGCTTGCTTGTTTGTACTGTTATCTGTGGGTGGTTGGTTTGGTTTGTTTGCACTGTATTATGTTTTAGTATTGCACTGCGTTTATGGTTGTATTGTTAGTGTTAATAAATTATATTGTTTATCACATATCTGAAGTCTGCGTTTCCCTGCGTCAGTCACACATCTCTGGTCACACCTGGGAGCCCTGACACATATACAGTGTACATAGCATTGTTATATGACAAAGGTAAGAAGTGTTGCTAAGGCTATAATCTGTACACTTACAACAGCTATTGCACATCAAGGTAATGGAGATGGGTGTAGTCTGGCAGGAGCAGAGTGTCAGAATGCCAACAACAGATGTGGGGACCATAATATAAGAAGGATCAAGGGCTCTAAGAATACAAGTGATATCTACAAGAGAAAGTGACCCAAACAACAACACTGTATGAAATCATAATACACTTACATATCTAGCACTGGAGTGAAAGGGGCCCGTGGACCAGCTCCTGTATCAGGAACATTCTCAGCTGTGCATCCAAATAGTTTCAAGGCCTAAGGAGACCTGTAGAACATGTATACATTTACTACTAATATAAAAATGGACCACAATATACCCTAGGTAGAGAACACTCCCCACACCCCAATCCAAAAAGGTTGGGAAACTGCCAACATGACTCACCTCCTGGGGCTATTGTTCAAGGTGAAAGAGTATAGTTCAAAAAATGCACATAAGACTCATGTCTTCCTAACCATGCAAGCTGGAGTAACTCTATATCCCTTATAAATCCGTGCCGTCATAATGCAGAAAGTCATACACAGATCACCTGAAAGGGAGGATTGTAATTATCATCTAAGAGTATTGGTCAAAACAGTTTGTTCTCAACAAACCCTCCTGTGTTACTCCCATAATAACAGCATAAGCAACGTTTGTCACATTCCTACTGCCAAAAGGTCATCACATGGCTACAGTGTCCCTTAAATGTACATACAATTCATTAAGTCCATTATCAGCCTGCAAGAGCTGCCACTGATTCCCCTATTGTAGGGCCCCAAACCCAAGATGTCCACACTGATGCAGCATGGCGTGTGATGTCATCGGGCCCAGCGGTGCCCAACTGTGCATGAGCACACTACCCCCACCATGATAATGGAGGAAGGCACCCATGCAAGGGGACAATATGCAGCCGGGCAAGACCCCAGAGTGGGACAATGGCCCCCCGCTAGTGCCTCAGGGCACCGCAGCCCAATCCCAAGGCCTTTTTCCCAGCAAAGAGACAGATAACCACGGTGCTATGAGCCGCACACCCATCAAAGAAGAACCCAGCCAATGCATGAAATGCCAGCCAGCTCCTTACCTATACAATAACATAGAGTAAGCAATAATACAAATACTGTAAGCTGCTCTAGGCACATTGAGACCACCAAAAACCATTCATTTGGTTAGCATATACAATTGGTTCATTATAAAAACATCATGGCATCAGCTGACACTACCATAATATACAAAAAACAATGTAGATACTTAGGGTTAGTAATGTGTATATATATATATATATATATATATATATATATATATATATATATATACACACACACACACATACAAGACAAGACCTCTATTACCTATATGGGACCAAGCTGAGCTCTCCTCTTATTACAAATCTTGCAAATAATATATAAAGCTCATCAAAATTAGTGAAAGCTCTATGCTCTTGATGAATAGACACCCTGTCCTGCATTGAGCATGTCACGAGAAGGGTGTCAGGGGGCACCAAGAGCACCTCAATATGTTTAAAAAAATCGAGAGTGTCTTTGGTATAAGAAGGCAGAAAAAGTCAATGAACCTACTTGCATTTTTAGTTAGGGAGCCTATCCCCATTACTATTTGTTGTCCAGCTGGGGACATAGGATTCTTATGAACTTTAGGTAACGTATAGAATGTTGGATGCTGGGGAAATGTTCAAATATTTGTAAGAATCTTCAGCAATACAGGCCTCCATATAAGCAGTGTTAATCAAGCTCTTATACTCAAGATTGTATTGGCCAATAGACTTATCAGAAATAGGTTGATACCAGTTTGAATTCCACAGAATATCCTCACTAATTTTTTCATACTGCTTTTTTGTTATCAAGACAATGCTGCCTTCATTGTCCGAAGGTTAAATCATTAAGTCAGTGTGATTTTTTTTTTTTTAAAACCTTCAATGGCTTGTTGTTACCTATAAGTAAGGTTTCTCGTCGCTGGTACTAATTTCATGCATCTAATATCATTTATTGTGGTTGTTAAAAAGGCCCAAATGTTCGTGTTGGGCATTAAATCTGTATATTTCTGGGATATATTTTTTAACTTCCTGACTGGTCCATTCTGAATCTTAGTTCTAAAAGTTTCATCATTTGTTACATTGCCATCTGACATGTCATTTTCCTCTAATAGTAGCATTGAGTTAAGCAAAGCATGGAAATGATCCATTGTAAAATGTTAGAATTTCTCAGTTACTTCCTTCTCTTGTTTGAGTCTCTGTCTATCCGAGTCAAACAGATGTTGAAAGGTAAGATTTCTCATAAACATATATAGACCTTTAATGGTTTCATAACGGTCTATTTGAGCCGTAGGACAGAAACTTAAGCCAGACTGAAGAACTTCATGCTCCTCCCCCGTCATTGGAACTGGGTGAGGTTAATTACACTTAGTTCTGAATTGATGGTAGTCCTGTTGGTAAGGGAGACACCAGAGGCTGTGAATTGCTTTGCATTAGATAAGGACCTTGTGTCACTTGTGTGAATGCTTGGGGTGATATTGTGGGTAAAAAACAGGACTGAGATTGAGTCAGAGGAAGATAAATTTGTGAACCCATCGTATAGAGAAGTGTCATAGAACCAGTTATTCTCTGTGTGTTTATAGTGGGTTCTTGGCTGTGTGTGTACCTAATATTTGAGAGCTTGTGCATCTACCTGACCTAAGTGACTGTTACGTGATCCAGTGGAAGTTTGTATGCTACCATCACCCATCTTAGTACCACCACCTGAAGTGTATTCAGGATATGGACTGAATTGTTAAAATTGGTCAGGATGCCTTTAAGAAGAGTCAGAAGAACTGTACCTTCCATCATAGTGATTCCTCTGGAATTCATGTGGTAATCCTTGTGTGACTGTTGGAAAAAAGAAGAGTCAGATTCTGTACCATCATCAGTATTAATGTTACCATTAGTTGTGGCTTTATATCCGCCATTTCTACTGAACCCTCTAGTTTTTAAGGGATTGGACCACAGATAGGCAAATCTCTCCATAAAAGCCATACGGTCTTTGGCAAATTTGGTCTGCTCTCCCCTCTTTTCTGAGGCTTTCCAGAACATAGTGTGTGGAAGAGTTAGATAAGCAGCGTAAACTTGGCTCCAGTAATCCATGTCCTTAGTCTGCTTGTCTTCAGCAAACTGTTTGCGGGCTTTCTTGTGCATCATCTTTA